TAGACAATGGCGGGGAACCTTGGTGAGCAAGACAACGCATGCCTCCTTTATCCCAAATGGAAAACTTCATAAACGGAATGGCAAGCGTGACGACGTCAACACACGACCGATCGGAGCCCTCGCAACCGTACTTTCTGGCGGCATCCCGCTCGAAATTCCTCCAGATTCCCTCTGGGAGATGAGTCTTGACGAGGGAGCGAGAGGTGAGGGCAAGGGAGTGGTGCGTGTTGAGGTCACTAAAAGGGGAGGAAAGGGGGTGCGGCATCTTCCACCCAATGCGCTCCACCGAAAGCTTCAAAGTTCCCGCGGGGCCCGATGCGATCCTCCAGGTGCAAGGCGAAGGGGAACTAGCGTCCCAGAGCTCCCCGAGCTCGTTCCAAGAAAAACAAGAATCGGCAATCTCACTGTGCCTGGGCCAAACTTCTTTTGGCCAGCGAATGATAAGGGACACAATGCCAAACCAAACGGGCCCCCCCCTCGATTCGCGAAGGGGTCGTCAAGCGACGGCCGCCAACAAAAGGGCTTCATCGTAGCAACAGGAGCGCCGAATCTTTCAACTTTTCCGTCGCTGCAGCCATGCGCCTCGCTGCAGTGCGTGATTCTTGGCAGGGGCACAGCCGCGCAGGGCTAATTCGCTCTGCGTCCTACAGCAAGTCGCAACGTTCAACTCGACGGCTCGCTTTGGCCGCTCTGGCTTCGAGTCGACCATTGCGGCCTCGAGCCCGTCGGGCGCGTCCTGCACTGTCGGTAATCTCCAAGTTGACCCCCGACTCCTCGTGAACTCCCCCAGGCTCCCTCAACCTTTTCTGGGCGTGTCTGGGAACGTCCTCGGGCGACGAGATGAGGCCGACGCCGGCGTAGATGGGCCTCGACACAACGCCCCTGGAAACAATGAGACTCGCGGCACGATAGCCCGCCAAACAAACAGAGGCAACGGGGGCGGGGACTCGGGGATGGGCGCAACGAAGCGCCGGGGTCTCCAGCGGGATACGCTCGCGGTTCTTCGTGTAATCCCACAAGAGGGTGCAAGTATGCTGCGGCTGGCTGCGAGACCTCTCCGAACTGGCCGTCTGTCTCCACGCGACGTCTCTCGCCGCCTTGTGCTGGCCTGCCGCCCGAAAAAGAGCGTTGGTTAGCAGATTCCCACTGCGCGGCATGAGTGTGGCGGCAACCGCCCCGGAGACGGTGCGCGCCAGGAAAAATCCGATCGGCCTGACTCCCGTCGTAGGTTTCGGCGACGTAGCGATCATGGCCACGCGCAGCGGGGAGGGGGCATGCCAATCAAAGTCCGTAATCCCGATAAGCCTCGAGAGGGCCTCCAAGCCCCTATCAGACAGCAGCGCAAAGTGGCGCAAGTGAAAACCGTCAAGCCCCATCGCAGAACGGTGAACCAATTTTCTGGACAGCTTCCAGGTCGCAGAAGTACATCTGGGAGGCAGAGGGTCGTTGATCGCCCCAGACTGCCTGACAGGGTCTCGAGCGCCTCCCACAAGCAGCGGAAACGCGATGCATCCTTGGCCAAGGGCGAGTGCGGGTCGGACGCAACGCAGCCCGTGGAGCAGAGTGGTGCTGGCCTTCCAGGCCTGCGGGCCCTTCGTGAAAGAGCGTACCCTCCGCCTTCCTCGGCCCGCCTTGTCCGCGAGCCGGTTGGCCCAGTCCCTGCCGGCCCGGGTCGCGCATGAACTGGGTCATCCTTCCGCAAACTCGGAAACCACGTCGCCGAGGCATTCGGAACAATCCTGAGCCAGGAAATTCGATATGCTACTCGCAAGTCGATCCGAAACTAACTTACATACTATTTTCCAGGACGTCAGGAACACATCGGGGCCTCGGGGCCTTCGTCGGGCCCCGCGTCCAGGACGGGCTTGCGCGAACTCTGCGGAGACGGCGCGCGGGTCCGGGCCGCTCCTCGAGCCGGAGGCCAGTCCGCACTTTGGGCGGCGCCGAGGGGCCGCGCGACAACGTGGCCAGCCAGCGGCGGGAGTGGAGCTGAGGGCATCTGACGCAACACTTGTCTTTCCCGAGAATCGGCCTCGAGTGGGTGATCGGCCACTTGCCCCTCGACCCAAGTGACCAGTTCAAATCAGGAAGTCCCAGCCAGCCCAGGCCCTGCCAGGGCTGCCAAGGACGCGCGCGCCTCGCTGACGAGCGTGGAGGTCATCGGCGCGTCGTCTCCACGTGTCTAACTGGGCGTTGACGCGCTCGAAATTCACGGGCTCGGGCTGATGCCCCGCTGGTGGGCGGCGGGGGCGGCCTCCTTAAAGTAAGGTAGCGCATCCTAGCGATGCCCGCGTAAGAGTCGAGCCGAACAGGTGGGCGAGTGAAGAAGCCAGTGTTCTCGGTGGGGGGGTGGTGCCCTGGGTCGCCTTCGCCGCGACCGAAAGACCAAGCGGAATCATCGTGCTCCTTAGCGTCCCCAGTGAAGCATGTTGGTCTGCTGTTGCAAATGACTTGGCCGATGAAGGTTCTGGCGAATTGTGGCCCGCCCAGGACTGCGGGCTCCATGTTCCAGTCGCTCCCCATTAGGGGGGGCTTCCCGCGGGTCGGCCTCGCCGCTCCAATCGCCGCTGGAGAATCGACGTTGTCCTCGGAGGACCTCGCCGCCCCCGAGGTAAATCGAGCAAAACTGGAAAACGCACCCTTGGGGGGCGTGAGCCAGCGCCGTCGAGGCTCGGTGGGTGGCCGCCGAGGACCCAGCAGAGGGCCCATGCAATCCCGAGTAAGCCTTGCAGGGAATGGCAACGCCAGCGGATGGGCCTCCTCCAGGGCCCGCGGTGGCAGCGGCCCACAAAATCTTGAAATCCAGCCGCGAGCACGTGACCGAGGCGCGATTTATCGCCTCCTAAGACGCAAGCTTGTGTTACTGGAGAAGGACGACTTCTGAGTTGACACTTGGCAGCCAGTCTTTCACCGACCCACGCGAGTCGCCGTTGGCGGAGGCGACGCTCGGACGGAGCCACTCGGCCTCGGGGGTGGTGGAGTGGCGAGAGGGCCCCTCGACAGACGCTGGCCGCCCTGGGGGCTGCCGCGCCCTGAAACAACATCGAAGCGCGAAAGCTGTTCGCAGGGCGGGGTCTCCGCGCCCGAACCGCGGCGTTCTGGGGCCCTGCATTCCGGATGACGAGTTAAGCGACTTGCGGGGGGGGGAAGAGGCCTGGGGGCGCCTGGGCCGAGAAAGCGCACGAACGCTCTGACCGCCAGAGGTCAGATACGAACGAGGGCCCCCCCTTTGACAGCGTCGCCGCCAAGTCGGGCCCGCGCGCAACTCCTTCCGCGTGCGATCGCGGCGGGCGATGGCCGCGACGGCCTCTCGAGCGCTTTCGGCCGACGAACCTTTAGGTGCTGATGCTTCGCTGTCTCCGCCTTCCGCCTCAGCGGCGCCCTCAGGCGTGGCGGGCGCAGCGGGCGCAGCTCCTCCGGCGTCGCCGCTGCCTGGCGAGCCTCCGCCGCCAACGGGGGCATCTCCGTCGCTGCCCCACCGACGTTTGCCTGCGATGCGCGCGCGGTAGGTCTCGTGCTCCTTCCTGACCGCCTCAGCTCTCTGGAGGCGCTCTCGAAGAGTTGCGTGGCAGCGTTGGCGACGTGATCCTTGGAACTGCGCGCGGCGCTTAGCTACTTCGTCGTGGTCGGCCCGTGCAAGCCCCGCCTCGCCAGGCAGGTCGCTGGAGAGGCCGCCGTCGTCGATGGTGATGTTGGAAACCTTGCCCGCCACCGGGTCGCGTGGGGGGAGAGCCGGTCCAACGGCGGCAGGAGCTGGAGCAGCGGGCTTGGCGGAAACGCCCGGGGTGTGGAGGTTGGCCACGGGAGCGCCGTGCTGCTCGAGAAGAGACTTAAACTCAGCCGAAAGATCGTTGAGGTAGATGTCGTGATTGCGTGCACGTGCAACCCATCTTTTGTACGTGGCGAACTCACTACGTGGCGAGCTCGCCTTCCATCTTCTTGTCCAGCTTCGAGCTCTCCCGATGCAGATCAGAGACTTGATCTTGAAGTGACTTGGGCTTAGGCTTCGCCTTGGCAGTGAGAATTTCGATCTTGGCCTGGTACTTCTGAGTGGTTGCTTCGCCGCCGTCGCGCTCGGCAGGGAGACGAGCATCTGGAGCTCGGTGGACCCCAGCGGCCCTGACGCAGGGCTGGCCGCTCCCGAATCTCCTCCCCGAGGCGCTAGTGGCTGAAAACCAGACGGGAGGGACTGCCATACACCAAGGGCAATACATCCAGGAGACATCGGCTGCCCACGAAAATGAAACCACACACCGCGAGGACCATGAGGCTGAGCTGTCGCGGGTGCTTGACGTTCCGCCCGATTTGCTTGCAGTAGGAAAATATGATCGAAGTCGTGCCGCACCCGGACTGCACGCACTTCCAACCGTCGAAGGGCGCTGACTGCTGCCCACGCTCGCTGCGGAACCCGCAAAGGCCCACCGTAGTAGTGCGACTGAACCTGGCGCCGCGGCGGGAGGGGGCTTCGCCACGGGGATCCATGGCCTTTGCCGCCGCCACCCTTGCCGCCACCTCCATGGCGAGATCTGAAAGTGAAACGAAACGTCTACATTGGCCCGCTGACACCAGGTGCCGTTGAATAATGGTGCCAACACCGCTACTCGAGCGCAAGACGGCTGGAGGGAGGGAGGGAGGGCGGGAGGGAGGGAGGGAGGGACGGAGGAGGGGGGATGGAGGGAGGGAAGGAGGGAGAGAGTGAGGAGGAGGGAAGGAGGGAGGGAGGGAGGGAAGGAGGGGGGAGGAGGAGGAGGGGGGAGGAGGAGGAGGAGGAGGAGGAGGAGGAGGGGAGGAGGAGGAGGAGGAGGAGGAGGAGGAGGAGGAGGAGGAAGAGGATGAGGAGGAGGAGGATGGGGAGGAGGAGAAGGAGGAGCAGGTGGAGGAGGAGGAGGAGGAGGAGGAGGAAGAAAAAGAGGAGGAGGAGGGATGGCGAGAGGAGGGAACGAGGGAGGCAAGGAGATGCAGAGGTGACGTCGCCGTGTCGACGACTCCCCAAGGCGCCCGCCTCGGCCGGGGGCGCGCGTCTGGCTTCCTGCTCGGGCTCCTCCTCCGCCACCCGACGCCTCGGGCTCTGGGCGCCTTCCGGCGGTCCTCGGCGCTGGGCGCTGCTGGGCGGGGAGGTTAGGAAGCAACTCCTGGGAGGTCTGGGCGCGAACGGGCCCATGGAAAACGCCTCCCTGGTCGACCCCCCTTTGGTGGCCCACGTGCAATGCCTGCTGCAGTTGACTGGGTCAATACGAACGTTTCGCTGGAGAGGTCTCCGCAATCTGTGGGCGAAGGGGCACATGAAACACGCCTGATCGACACCCCCCTGGGTGGCTCAAGTGCTATGCCTGCTACATCGCTGTGATCATAGGGTTCGAATAGAGACATGTCTGCTCGGCCCAAACGGGTGTTTCGCCTGCCTGCTTGACTCTTTAACGCTGCCTGCAACCCGCTGGCGCGTCGGAGGAAGAGAGTGTGTGTGTGTGTGGCGGCGGGGGGTGGACACCCACCGCAGCTGCGGTTAATGCCTCCTCGACCTTCTCTCTCTCTTTCTCCCTACATCTCTTCCTTCTTCTCTTCCTCTGTCTCCTTCCTCCGCTCTCTTGCTTTCCGACTCCACCGCGTCCGATCGCGGCGCACACAAACAACCTCCCACTGCCAGAGCCTCTCTCCATTCTCGTTCTTCTTCTTCTTCTTCTTATTCCTATTCATATTCTTCTGTATGCGTATGCTGGCGCACATGACGTAAGTTTCGATAGAGCTCGCGCACGAACTTTTAGCGCGGCCTCCTTCGAAGCATGACGAGTGAGGAGGCATCTCGCGCTGTTTTACGCCGTCATGCTCCGAACGAATCAACTGACAGGGGGAGGCCTGCCAAGCACGCGAGCGCGCTCTCGATCAAGACGTGGCCTGCAGCGGGCCGAGGTGGTCAGCTCTGGTGGTTCCACGAGAGCGCTGCTCTCTCAAAGCCCAGAGACGGAGAAAGCGGCCCCCGTTTCCCAGGTCCAGTAAAGAACGACTGTCAAGGCACGGGCTGGTTGCCGGTGCTGCTCGGCACACGCTCGTATTCATTACCCATCGGTCGGAAGAAGCAGGTGGAAACATGAAGTAGGAAAGCGTTGTGCCGACTTCAGCGTTGGTTTCTGACACCGAGGAGATCGTTCGACCTTGAACGATCGGCCATTTCCGAAACGTCAGATCGCTCAGCATCGACCGATTCTGGGTCGCCGGCGGCGTTCAGCTTTGAACGCCGGCAGGGTCGCCGCTGATCGGCACGTCGCGAGCCTACCGTACGCACGCGTCCGAGGAGCTCTCGCCGCAGCAGAGCTCGGTCCTGGAGCTCGCGTGGAGCACTCCCCCTCAAGGAGCCCAGCTGCGGCCAGCGGCTTCCCTCCAGCATCCTCTCCGGTGGCTGCGGCGCGGCCCTCTGCAGGCTGCGGCTCACCTCTGTGCACCGGCGGCTCGTAGGGCGTCAAGCCGTCGTGCTCCGACTCAGGACGGCTGCCCTCCGAAGCCTTCGGGCAAGAGGCCAAGATTAGGACGAGAAAGGTGCCATGATGCGATTGGCGCAAGATTTGTTCCAGGAGTTCCAGAGTCTCTGGCAACCCTCGCCTTGGGAGTCCGCGCGGGACGAGGAAAGCGTATATGTCGTTGTCACGACTTCTTGCTCGTCTGAACACGCATAGATCGCCTTCGTTTCGTATGCTTCGCTGGCTCGGCCGACAGAGTTGCGTGCCAACATCCAGACCCCCCCCCGAGAGAATCAAGACACCGGCACTGTTTCCTCGATCGGCCTCCCGTGACCCGAACTGGCCCGACACGCGAGCTGACAACCTCGAGCTGGGGTATCAATACGAAGGCAGGATGAAGGACGAGGACAAATTAGGAATCTCTGAGAGCTGGCGGGTCTGACGGATGTATCGGGCGCCGCGGCCGTCTCAGATCGTTCCGGGACGCTCTGAGGGCGTCCTGGAGCGCTCTGGAGCGATCTGTCTTCGTCCTGGGCCTGCCTGAGGTCTGACCCTCGGGTGGCGATGCGAAATCTTGACGCGCCACCCACTTTCGACTGCCGCAGCGAATGCCGGCGTGGCACGTGTGAGAACGTCAAGTGTCTGACTGGGACGATCGAATCGGGACTCCGAGCTCGCTCCAGATTCTAGCCGCTGAGAACAGAACACTGCGTGGCAATCATGTCTCGAGAAGCTGTGGTGCAAGCCAGATCGGTGGTCGTCCAACCGCGGGTTCGCCAGCGAACTCACGTGGCCAATGCAGTGGTAGCTCCAAGGGGGCTCTGGCGTCAACCCGTCGTGTCTGGCCTGATCTGTTTGTCTACTGTGGCGAGGTCTTACGGAGCAGGTCCAAGCGATCCGCTGAACGATAGCCTCTCGCTGCTCTGCCAGGCCGTGAGGCATGACCCGGCGGCATGATGACCACCGAGCCTCTCGAAAAAGTGCGGGCGGCAACAAGACCACGACCGCAGAACATGAACGACATAAGAGGCAGGACGTGCCAGAAAGG